TGGATTGAAGAAATGCGGGTAGAGTGGGGGTATTAGTTACGAAATCGGCCACTAGAGTTTATGAAGAAATGCCAATCTTTGGAGATCAGTCATGCCTTCGCAACGTTCTCAATAATTTGCGTTCTAACTTTTTAAGGAGTTAGAGGTATCTCCTGTGATAGATCTTTACCTGCTTCGGCCATTTCTTTAGTTTTTTGGAGAAAATAACGGATAGAAAGTTCTCGTTTTCAAAAGAAAATTGCTTCAATTTTGTGCCAGTGAGGATGTGTTTGGAATGTTGTCATCAGTGCTCGCTGCGAGCTTTCACCTTCATCTCTTTATTGGACCAGAGAGGGGGAAGCAAGGTCATCGTTCAAGAAAAGTTGCGCGAGTAATAATATATTCCTCCATGCCTCATTTATCAAGATTCGTTGCGTGTGAGAGCCACAAAAGGTATGTATACTACTGAAATAATATAGGACTCGATGGAAAGAAAGAAGGATTTCAGGCTAGTGGTCAAATTGTGTAGCGGGTATTGTAACCGAAATTGCGAAAGGCTGGCTTTATTCTCCGCAAAGAGAAAGGTTGGCATTGCCACCTCCAAGGAGTATAAACTCCTTGCGCAAGACAATGCACTTCAGCGGAGGGATACATTTCAGTTTGTTTACGTCCACTTCTTTCGTTGGATAAAGAATAAGTGACGTTGGTTTTACCATCGATCTCCCTGTGCAGTTCATACAGTTTTTCTAAAGGACGCTGCCTCGGAGGCGTAGAATTTAATACTGCGTAGATAAATTCTACTATTCAACCAACCGCAACTTTCCACATTTATGTACGATTCCAGGTGAAAAGATGATCAACAAAGGTAAATATTAGAAATTAATTAAAGTGTATATATAGCACAGTAAACACAATACAATTTTTACTTTCTCGCCTTACTTCCTAAGAAGAGATACTATTGTAATCGTGGACCGAAAAGCGACATTATTTTAAAGAAAAACTCACATTGCATGGCCCAGAAAGTGAAAAATTTGATTAGAATTCATATCTATACTAAACTCCCTCTGACACGTACTTTCAGAATTCATATTCTCTGTGTTCTTTGTACTAAAAAGCCATTGACGGCGCGAAAGGTGTGTCTACCCGTCTGTGTTTAACGTAAAAACTTAAATTATTCTGTAAAGTTCCTCAAAAATGTACGATTCTTGTTCGATTTAAGAAAACTCAAGGTCCCAAGTTTGAAACTGATATAATGATTGTATGTTTACCTCCCATGATGCCCCCATTTCCTAAGAAGAGAAAATTCTGTAATCAAGCGCCGGGAAACTGCGAATTTTTTACAGAATGTTTCTCCATTTTTCTTGGGTCCTCGATATTGAAAATTTGATTCACGCCAAAACGTCCGTACATGTCTGTCCGTTTGTGATCAACGGTAGCGCCTAAACCGCACAGACGATTTTTACCTAAATTGATATTCTCTGAGGTTGATCTGAACCAACTTGAAACTTCTGGAGTTTTAAACTGATATTTTGATTTTCAGGGTATTCTCATGAAGGGTCTTTTTAACGTTTTCTCAAAAATGGCACCTAAATGTTTTATTAAAATTTGTTCTTGAATAGCGTAAATCATGCTAAATAATATGAGGAATAATCACTGCAGCCATTGATGGCAGTGCGGCGTGCTACTGCACACACACCGGCAATATACACCTGGCCCCGCGTGAGTACAAACAGATAGCGCGGGACAGAGTCCGCAGAGGCGCCCTCCTCCACCCCATGCCACAGGAAGCTAGCTGCGGAACAACTGAAAAGACCTGCAGCAACACCAGACGACAAACTGGAGTCCCTGTCTAGGACGTGTGTGCCTCCAGTGTCAGTGAAGTGAAAGCAAAAAAGTTAGTGGCAACCTAAGTGATAGTGAGGTGAAAACGTATATGAAAATATGCAAAAGGATCAATACCGGACACAAGCCACTAAAAATTAGATTCTGATTGGAAGAGCCATTAGAATAGATTTATGTATTATAAATAACACCCAATAGCATACATTGTAAATAATAACCAAGAATATACATATTGTATATAGTATCAGTAGTATAGATAATACTCATATGGAAGTAATATAGTAGGATAGAATTTACACTAAGCCAAATGGCAACTGAAATGTGCGTATATATTATATATTAGATTAAGAAATAAATATTTGTGTTAAAGAGAATGGCGCAAGTCTATGCCTTTAACATACGAAGTTTCCGAAATTAAAAACAAACTAATTAAACTTAAATACCCAATCATTAAAATTTTCAGGCTCTATAACAAAAATTAAGCAACCAACCAAAGCAAAATATGCTTTCTTTTAATAGATTCTTATAAGTAAAGAAAAAACAGAGATGCGCATGAAAACAAAATTACCACTGCAATGTAAAAATGGTAAAATGTCAATCACAATCAGGCCAAGTGTATCCTTACGCGATAAGTGTAAGACGCAGAGGCCATCATTATTCAAACTGTGATAGGCCCAAAAGAGAAAATCTAATCTGCGTCAACTGTGGGGATTTTCATACGGCAAATTACAGAGGCAGTTCAATATTAAGAAGTTAACTAAGAAATACCAAACTCACATTTGCGACATGAAAATGAAAATTTGAATCTTTTAATCCGCGCCGAGTACCTTTAGCACGAAGACGTTGCAAATGATAGAGAACCACAATTTCACAAAATATAATTCATCTTCTCAATTTCCTCTATTTCCAAGAAGGCAAACAAATGTAAATTGCTGGACAACCTTCCAAATAATACCTTTAGTTTTATTAACTAATTTAAAAAATCTCAAATCCCTATTGTCACTAACTAATGGCATAAAACGCCATTTAAATCGCTAAATTATTTTTCAATTTCTATAAAATATGCATTGCATGTATCACCGAAACACACTTAAAGACGGGAGAAACATTTAAAGTGTCCGGCTACTAAAATTAAAGATATGAGAGAACTTCATTAATTTCCTCTGGTGGTGTAGCTCTTATAGTTAAAAATAATATTTAACATCAGCGACAGGCTCTTTTAAGTTGTCCATTAATGTTATATTGATGGCCAAATGGCCGTTAATATAATATTAACCACGTGAAAGACAAGTAAAGAAATCATTTTTGTAATTTTTGAAAACAAAATGATAGAGCATAATGGTGTTTATATCATCTTATAAAGTGTATTTAAGAAGAGATTTTACAAAGAGATTAAAGAGAAAATTTAGTGCCGTTTTCGGAAAAAACGTTTTTTTATTGTTTAAAATTGCACATATTAAAACTTAAAATATTAAAACTTTCTAAACAATCGAACTGTTAAAAATTTCAAAACAATGTACATGACCTTAATGAAAGAACTAATTTTTATTTTTGTTATTTTCAGTCATGTTATTTGTTTAGAACCTTGTGTACAAATCTAATTTGTTTCCTAGTGGAAATTGTTTTCTAAATGTATAGCTAAATTTGGGAATGTAAGGATTAACAATATTATTATAATGAGCAGATTTTGAAATTGCAGAATGTTGTACCTTAAGAAAAAATATCTTCTTTTAACAATTTTCAGTATTTTTGAAGGATTATTATTAAGTGCTAGTACGGATTCCACTATGTGCATATTTAGGTAATGAATTTTAGGATCAGACAACATGATAGCTATGTCAGTTAAATTATACACACGTTTTTGGTTAAAAGCGTGTTTAGAACACTATTCCAAAATTATCCCTGTATTTGTAGATTTTTTGTACCAAATGGTAAAAATCATTTCTTTTTTCTATTGACAGAAACGCCCAAAAAATAAAACATTATTTTCTTATTTTTCAATAGTAAACCGTATATTCGGGTAGAAGCTATGAAATTTCCTAGTGTTTTTCAAATTTATCTTTTTTTATAATAAGAAAGGTATCACCATACTCCCTGGCGTAGACATAAGAAAAGTGGTTATTCTATTGACCTTTAATTTCTAGTGTCTTTGGTTTTTCACATATCTAGGAAACAACAAAACTTATATTGGTAATTCATCCAATTAGCTGCGTATGTTCTATTTATCTCGATATGCATGATCTGAGTTTAATTAGAAAATATGTTGTTGAGAATTATTCTTATTGCAATAAGAATATCAGAGTTCAGAATTTTTGAAAGTTCTTCTAGATTTTTTAATTTTTTTTGAAGAGTCCATAAATCAACTGGTGTGGCAATGAAATAAACGTAGAAACAAGTGACACCATTATGTAGTCATTGGGAAAGTATATTTCGCGTACTTCTTTTACAAACTGAAAGCTGTTTTTCAACAGTATACAATATTTTTTTCAAGAAGGCGTTTTAGTGTGGTGGGTGGTTAAAAACTTGGATAATAGTAAAAAGGGGATGCTACAGTAGCGATTACCGATCTTCACGATAATCAATTTTCATAAATTTTGATAAAATCATATGTCTAGGAAATGATATCTATGGTTGGATAGCAAATTATATGTTCTCAAATCAATGAATTGATTCTGTTTCCATCTCTTTATCAGTGTCTGTGTGTCACCGATTATTTTATTAATATTAACTTTTCCTAGTAAAGTATATTTGGAGTTATTATAAACAGAAAAAATTGAATATAAGTAGTTTTTTCATGATAGCAAGACCGCCTCATTATCAAACTCTACCACTATTCGATTTTGGTTGTCATTGAATTATTTTTGTTTTTTGGAGATACTTTAAAATCATATCATGTTCATTTTTTGAATTGTTTTGAAATATTGATTGAACGTTATACAAACAGAAAACATTGTAATACCCATTTTTAAAATCACACAAATATAATACACTAGCTAGGTGGCAATATGTACTAGTTGAAACGGATGATTTGTGTTCAATAATCAAATTAAACTCTCAAATATTTATTCGTCGTGAATACGTGTTGCAGCGCCATTTGAAACTATCTTTATACGTTTGCTCCCGCTGGGCATGCCATTTGTAACGATGTGTAAACGTGCTATCGACGTTGTGTTGCAGAGGCGATCTTGTTCGGGTTGATCCTCGCTGCCGGCCTCATCCCACTGCTAATCTGCTTTCCTGATCGGGGCGTGGAGGAGCAAAGCGAGCAGGAACTGCAGTTTCTGCGCGTGTCGCGCGACCCGCGGCGCTACGTGCGGCCCGAGGAGCAGACGGCGCTGCTGTCGCCGCTTCCCTGCGCGCCCCGCCCCCGCGGCCCCTCCGCGACCCCGCCGCGCCTGCTCATGCTGGTGACGTCGGCGCCCGCGCACCACGAGCGCCGCCAGGCCATCCGCGAGACGTGGGCGGCCGCAGCGAGGACTGCGCGCCTCGTCTTCGTGCTGGGACGCGGCGCGCGGAGCCGGCCTCTCGAAACCCTCGGGTGAGTCACGATCGCCCCCTACTCCCCCGCAGACATATCACTCACTACACCGCCTCGACATCACCTTATGCTACACTACACTGAGTTCACACTCTCGCATCTACTAATGGTTAATTTAACACGTCTGAACCAGAGATGCTGGCGTCAGCGCCTGAGCGGCAGGGTCTCAGACTGTGTTAAATTAGGCCTTAAAGCCGGGAATTAGATATTTATGCTATAAACTGTTTTTATTTCGAGTGGAATTTTTTTGTTAGAGTGGGTTAGGATGAATATTCATTTTTTTATTTGTTGTTTGTCTATCTTAATTCTTAGTTCATGGCTTTGGACAGTAATGTCTATATGACCTTTCACGTACAGGTACTCGTGAAACACTAAAATAATGGTCTAATTGTCAACACGAGAAGTAAATATGCGAATACGATATTTTTTCGCGCCGTCGGTGGTGGTGCCACTACCTCCTCTAGTTTTCGTATCACTGCCACGCTCCTCACCCTAGTCCGGACTTGCAACATCCCCAAGTAACCTCATCCGTCTCAATCTCGTGGTCTTTCTCTATCACTCTACGTTGCATATCCGCCGCTTGGCCCTCCGAGCCCTGTCCGCCCAATTGTCTCTTCCAGCGCCCCGCATCGCAGTCCGCTACGCCGGGCGCCCCCTCGGCTGCCGTCGTCGCGTGTCTATGCACTATCGCGCCTTCCTGCCTCCACCGCACGTTCCACCTCTACCTGCCTCTCATTCTATGCACAGTCTGCCGGCCGACCCTTGCCACGCCACCACTTCGGCCCTCTCTTCTCCTGTCTCCCGCTTTCGTTCTCGCCTCCGCCTCCGCCACCGCCATCACGCCCGCCTCTGCATCGACTCTGCCCATCGCAACACTCTATGTTCGTCTTTCGCCTCACACTTGCCCCGTCCACACCTGGACACTCTTCCGCGTCGCCGCCGTCCACGTACCCCGCCCCCCCCGCACTCGCCACCACTTCCCCACCCTCACGTCTTCGCCCAACTCTCGCTGTATTTCCGCTTGCCTATTTCTTATTCCAGAAATTTGTAAACCATATTATATTTTAAGTAATATATTTAAAATGAGTTAAAAGCAAGTTGTTCGAAAACTCAAACATTTTTTGTGAAAAAAGCTTCAAATTTTGAATTTAAAGTAGCGCTTAAACGTTAGTTTTTTTAAACGGCTCCAATTTTTTAATAGAAAATTGGCATTTAGGACCAGGTTTTACTGTTAATTAATAATCTTCAAATCGAAAAATTAAGAAAAAGTCAAAAATGCACCTAAGACGGCAGTATATATCATCAGGCAAAAAGATATGACAAGTTCGAATAGCTAATCCAGACCAAAGGAAATAGAAAACTAATACAGGATAGTCTGTGTATGAGAAAGACGATCTCCAAAAAACTACAAATGGTGCTCGAGCCGCGACGGGCACTCTCGCAGGAGGAAATGGCTCGATTTTGCCCGCGCGCTTTGCTTCCCTCGTTTTTTGTCACCGTCCACCCCAGGGACCCCTGCGTGAAAGTAAATGTGCGGTTATCGTCTTGATGACGTGCGAGAAGATGGCACACATTTCCTCGCGTTCGAGAAACGGGGGAGAACAGGCTATTTTGAATCTATCGGGCTACATCCACCATCAGAATTATTGACATACATGCGCGGGAAGCGACTAACGTACAATTCGACGCAAGTTCAACGATTTGATTGTTAAATCTGCTTAAGATTGATCTGGCAATTTGTAGTCTAGTAGATTGGCTAGTAAAATAAGTATTTGAAGAGATTGAGAAAAAGACTCACTTTCTCAGAGAAAGTCCGCTTCTCACCAGCGATCGATTTTGGTAACACACCACAAGAAAGTGCTCTAATATCTTCACGAAGAGCACATACGGTGAAAAAATTAAAGAAGGATGTAATGATTTATACTACAGCGTTCCAGTAATAAGGGTGGAGTAAAACAAAACACTCACGTCTGAAAATTAACATCGGACACGTGTAGATCGACGATGTTAACGTTCAAGTCTTGTCAAGAATCGTTGCCAGCATGAGCATATGCTCAGTATTACACATAAAGACGCCGACTGTCTTCTATGAATAGAAATGGCAACGCCATCGAAAATAGATTCATTTCATAGTTTGGAGAATGCCGCACGCTAATCTCAGCGACGTGAGGAAAATGCATACGTATATATCGACATTGCCCCCACGCGAAATCTTTTTCATTTGCTCACACACACCGGTCTCGGACGCGGAGTGCGCTCATGCATTGGTCGTTTGGGACGCTTTCTCCATTCAAGATGTACACATTACGCCAATTTTATATTTGAAAATCGATGTATTGTTGCTCACCAACGTTTTTGAAACTTTTAGAAATATGTGTTTGAAGGTGTACGGTCTCGATCCCACATTTTAATACCCCACTCCCGGGATCTCGAAGGATGTCATGTTAAAAAACTAGCGCTTTGCCAGAGTTTCTTACAGATGCTGACATGGTTCTCTTCTTAGAGAAAGGTATAGGGGGGTCCCGTACAGGTGGTCGCGCGCCACGCTAAGATCAATCATTCACATGTGGTAGACCCTTTCAATCCATCTGATAAAGGATCTTAGCTCTCCTAATTGGACGCAAGTAATTTGTATGGATACTGCGTGCGACATCCGCTGCCCAAAGTACGGTTTAATTGGATGTGTGAAACTGACATTCATTCATTCGATTTGAAATAGGAGGCGGCACAGGTCGATCCCAATACGTTATCGAAGTTGACCTCAAAACTTCATACCAGACAGGCTTACGATTGAGCGAATTACCGCCTAATCCAGAATCACGCATGCCCCGACACCACGAACAGACAAGTTTTTGGTGACATTGTTGAACAACTGTTGCAATGTCATATCACCTCACCAAAATTCACCCCATTCTCTCTTTCGATCGCCGAACAGGGCATGCCAACTTCTTACACCTCAACAATTCACGGCTGCAGCGCGCGACCTCTAATTTTGAAGATAAATTTAACTTATGAACAACTCCGTTTACTGAAAGGCGATGGAAGACGTGCGCAATCCTAGTCGCATTTATCTTGTGAGCAGGTGGTGGGGTAAGAGTGGAGCGAGGTGCCTCATCGCACACCCCGCAATCGTGCTAAGTCACCATGTGGAGGGAGATCTCATGCAGGTCATCTAAACGCTGTGATATTGCTCGTCCAAAGTGGCGTAGGCAATTTCATAAAAACACTTTCAAGCTGACAGCGGAAGACATTGCATGTGTCTTTAACATCTGAACGCTATTATCTGGCGCGAGACTCAATCAACATTGATTCCATACATTGTAATGTATAGTTTATTAATGATTATCATTAAAGTTAGTAAATAAATGATTGAATTGCAACAAATATTTTATTTTCCCAACGTCACCACCAGGCAAGGGATTCAACATACTCCTCTTTCTCTTCTATTCTCTTTTATTAAGTTGGTAGGACAGGGAGAGCAGGATGTCATGAAAAATATCAATATTAATAAAAAACTAAAGAATAAATTAATACATATTGAAAATACAAAAAAATAGTCGTTTGCTTAACGTTATTCATCTATGAGGAGAATTAACCAATTCCTAAACAAAATAATAGCAATAATAAAAATAATTATATTAATTAGAGAAAGAAACATAAAATACCTCCTTCCTCTGAGATATATAATGAATTCACAAAGCATTTGTGCTCTTCTTGGCCCACTAGAAATTCTATTACTTTGAATGCCACAAGAGCTCTGGCAGGAGATGTGTCGGCTAATGCAAGGCAATCGTAGAAGAGCAAGGTATACTTTGTCGCAGGCGGAGGTGCTTGAGGAGTCGCAGCGGCATGGCGGACCTAGGTTGTGAAGACTTACGGACGCGTACTACAAACCTGACGCTCAAGACGCTGTTCCTGCTCAGTGGGCGGTGCGCGAGTGCCCGTCGGCGCGTTCGTGCTCAATGACGGACGACGACATGCTCATCAACACGCGCGGCCTGGTGCGCGCGCTGCGCGCGCTGGGTGGCTCAGGCGCGGATGGTGGCGCAAATGGCCGCCTGGGTGCGCTGGACGCCGCGGCGACGGGCGACTCCAACGCACACGAGGCCCTGCCCCCTATAATCTTCGGCTCCGTTTTACAGCTGGAGCGACCGGTACGCGACGCCAAACTCAAATGGTAATTTGGTGCTATGAAAAATTATCGCATGCAGTAGTTTAGTGGCAACATTTTTGCATTTGCGGCAATGTTGACTGGGAAGTCCTAGGGTCAAATTCCGACGACTGATTTTCAACACTAGCTCGTTTCGAATTCAGCCACGCGAATCCTGGGGAAGAATTGTAGCGACTAGTTTCTCCGAACAGCAGCTAAACACTGAATGTTTCTTTGTTGAGCAATGCTGTTCGGACCCACATGCGGAATATTCCAAAAAATGTACTTCTACATTTTAGTTTACATGTGCCTTGGAAGGGCAACCCAGTCTTATTTGTACATTTCTTACACCTAACAGCATTCGACGTTTAAACTCACTCGCGTGGCCTCTGCGATATCTGTTATCGCCAGACGTGTGCGCTTCGCGCGTGATGTGACGTCACACCATCTCACTAAATCTTGCGCGACCTTAATGTCAAACTTGCAATAGTTTCTAACAGCCCAATCCTTCCAGATTGTTCTGGAACAAAGAGAATACTCGTTTCTGATACTTTCATTCTCTATCCCCACACAGCACCTCATTCGCGATCTTCTGTGGCCTACGTTCCAATAGTTAGTTCAACTCTAAAGGCCATGCCACGCATACAACATGATTCCTTGCGTAAAACTCATGCAATGTATCACAGCAAGCATTGCAACTTCAATTCAGATCCCCAGCTGTGTGTCCTCGCTCGTCAGATTCGTTCGAATACTTCATGAGGCATACTTTCTTACAAAATTCATTTCAGTATCTCACAACGACCAGTATTTATTCGAAATTAAGTGTATTGTAAATGATATCGAAGTACCCAATAACTACACATAATATATTTGTGCACGTGACTTTTACGTGCTTAATAATACACGTATTGTTGGGCAAATAAATGTCTTCATTTGATGTATAATAGGAGGCAGTCCTGGAACCTGCAGTTCGTGAACACTGTCTACGTGAGCTATCTTAAGTCTTGAGACTATTTTGCTGGAACCCCAAAACCATACAGATCATTAAATTTACGTAAAGCGCCCAGAGGTCTGAACAAGTAGGGGAATTCGGTGGACCATGAGTGTTCGCTGATATCCAGGGTTGTTTGATTGGCCAAACTTATCATGAATGAATGTTGTATTACGGCCGTACTCTGCCTCTGAAATAAAGATTTTAAACATGCTACATTATCAACACAGATTGCAATAATTCACTCCATATCTTAATTTTTCGAGTGCATTTCCAAGGGCACTTGCTGTTTTTTCCAGTCCAATTCATAAGTTTTGAAGTATAGTACCTCATCAATGATAAATTATTGGTGCATCAAACTTACACAAACTATCGCGTATTAGTTTTCTTTCTTTATCTGTGCTGGCTATTACACATACTCTTGCCAGCTGCCACCTATCACAACTCCACCTACATTTTTAAAATATTTTTTTGTTTTCTAATAGAATCTAAATATTAATTGAAAAACATTAAAAAAAGAATAAAGCTTCGTCATAAATGGCGATTTTCATTGAAAACTTCGGAGTATTTTAAAGAAAATGGTATTCAAGTATCAATGTAAATGCAACATTTAAGTTCGTTTCAACACTATTGTTTTACTCTTTGAAAACCTTCAGGTCATTTGAAGCACTCGTACTAACAAAAACAATAGTGTTTAAAAATTGCTGGAAATGTTAACGGCATATTAACAGTGTGAAAAAATGAAATTTGGGTAATTTAAAAAACGAAAACAGAATACAGTAGAATCCTGATAATCCAATGTAATTGGGAGTGTAGTGTATTTCGGAAGTATTCGGATTATCCGAACAAAACAAAATGTACTTATACAAATACATCGAGATTACCAGACAATGAAACGCAGTGTGCGATGTGAGAAAAGGACAACGTAGCTTAGCGATCGTTTCATCACATCGCATCATCCAACAGATTCAGTTCCTTACGGCAAAAGACGATTATCGATTTTGTAAGTTCGTCTAAGTGAAAATTACTGCCGAATAATTATGTGATACACCATAATTACCAGTGCAATAAATGTTTCATCTTGACAACTTGTCTTTAGTTGCCGATTAGTTTAATTATGAGTTTAATAATTAGGGGTCACTTCCGCATTCGTCCTTAAACAGTTCCAGCGTCTTTTCATTGCATGGTGTGATATTATAAGAAAAATCTGATGGAAAGCAGAACGTGTCGAGCCATTCTGTACACAGTGCAGCGTACACGTTCGTTGAGGAAGAGTACGAAAGAATCGGTGTCCATGTACGGAATGTAAAGATCGCGAAGCTGTTCTGTGCAATATTTGTAGCAGAACTCATATGTCGTAGTGGTTATATGTAGTAGTAGAAAAGTCTGTCCGCACCAAACCGATTCAGGGTCTCGTATTAAAAATTGTTTTTATATTGGTAGCAACCAGATCTCTGGAAAGCAGGTGATGGTGACAACACATCCAGCATCTATTTTAATTGTGGTAAGTACACAATTTACGCTTTCAAGCTACAGCGCGTGCTCCCTACATAATTTCTATTCCAAGCACTCTCACCGGCAAGATGTCACTGTGGAGACACTTTCCTGGTACGCTACTACGAAACACCACTAGTTGTATATTGTAACTGGGTGGCTTCAATTTGGCCTGCGTGCAACCAACCGATGCTCAGAATTTCTTTTGTTTGTTTTATAAATGATATTGTAACGAATATTCATCTGCCGGAATTTGCTGCGACGATTGTGTCTTCTGCTGGCACCCCCCGAGCTGGACGGTTCGGGGTTATTCGTAAGTCGGGTAGAAATGTGGAGCAAGTGCTGGATGTGTCGAGATGGGCGCCGGCCAGGTATAAATTCTCCGCTACGGGCGGCATCCAGCCAGACAGTTAGGCAGTAAGCATCCGCGTGTCAGTCAGTGTCAGTGAATAATCAGTCAGTCAGTTGATGAGGTAAGTGAACAGCAGTGCATTGGACCCTGATCTATGCAGTGAAGTGTGTTCTGTGCAGTGAAGTGTGGTCTGCGCAGTGAAGTGTGGTCTGCGCAGTGACGTGAGGTCTGCGCTGTGACGTGTGGTCTGCGCAGTTAATTGTTGTCAGCGCAGTGGACTGTGGACAGTGTATTGGACTGTGCGACAGTGTAGAAGATGTGCACAATGTAAATAAATAATCAGACTGCATTGAACAGTGTAAATAAATAAATCAAGTATTTTAGTGTGTCATTGTTGACAAATGAACATCTTTGTTAAATATTACCTGCGTGTTTTTAATCCACCACGAGAAACGTTACAATACATACGAAATATGTTGAATAATGAAAAATTCCATCTTTGAAAACATTTGATGAGAAGGTCGGTGCGCAGGTACGCCCCGGACTGGCTATTCGCTGAGAGTGTCTACCCGAACTTTGTGTCCGGGTGTGTGTACGTAATGACCGGAACCTCCCTGGAGCTTCTCTTCCAAGAGGCGTTGGACACGCCCCTGCTGCCGCTGGAAGACGTCTTCCTCACCGGGATTGTGGGCGGCAGCCGACTCGGCATTCCATTGGTAAGTCCCTTTCTTTCACTCTCGCTCTGTTTCACCGGACTGAAATGACCTCTGGCTGAATGGATGATCTCTCCCCTCTCTCTTTTTGTTTCTTTCACTCTGTCGTGGTAACCCCTTATTTTAAATTTCTCGCCTTACAACGCAGAAAAAAGTATTGCAATCGTGTGTCGAAAACGGATATTTTCTGACAGAATTATTCTTTTCGGGCCCGGCTTATAAAGTGGAGAAATATGGTTCGTATATGTAGTAAACTTGAAGAACCCAGGAGAATTATTAACCACAAAGAGGAATTCCATTTATTAATGCCATGCGAAGGGGAGCCTACTTTATCCCATAGTATCCCTACCCTGCCCAACTACCCTGTCTTGTCTTGCCCCTGTTTGGAAATGTTCTGTCTACCTCGCTCATTTTACCATTAAGCAAAGTATATTTTTTTCTTGTTGAGAGTTAGTGGTACCAAACATTCCTCGCTTTAGAACTAAAAAAATAAACAAATCTAACTACAAAAGAAAATACTTGTAGACTCACATATCGTCTTTTTGTGGAATTGTTATTCCAATTGTTTCAATAAATCGCCTCATTGTAAAACTCTTTTTTATATTATTTTCTTCTATCGTATTCGTAATGAAAGATTTTAAATGTATTTCCTGCCATATTGTGACTTTGAAGGGTTTTTTAAGCTGAGTATAGCATGCGAGAGGCGTTGGTAGAATACCTCTTTATGGGGCCCTGGTAAAGAAAATGTGGATAAATACAGTTGTTAAATTTAAATATTGTATCTATCACAAGAATCCACTAGAAGAAAGTAACTAAAATACTATATGAAAAATCGGATTTAAATATTTCATTTCGTTGTGACACGTGCAGTTTGAACTTTGAATTACCGAACTATTATTAAATAAATTTACTTTTTACTAATACAGATTTAAAGAAAACATCTAAATGTGCCTTGTCCATAGAACATACAGTTCTACTGCTCGAGAGAGCAAAATATGAGCATCGAAAAGCACACCTTTTTATTCGTGCCAGAGTGAAGAAGTGCCAGAGTAAGAAGAAACTTGCAATGAAAGGAGTGGCGTGATTCTCCATTCCTTTCCTGATCAGGGAACGATGAAGGAGACTACCCCTATAATGTAAAATGGAGCTTCTGAAGCATATTTTGATTTTGGACTTTTTGCCAACTTTCCCTTCGTCACTGTTCGCCGGCCCCTTTTCGCCCCCTGAGGAATCGGCGTGGTGGGCAGCGGAGAAGCATTTTCTGACGTCGCGGAGTGAAACGGAGTGAGTGTCATTATGGCTGGCGTGAGAATGGAGTAGGACTTCTCTCCTCGTCCCGTTACTGAGGTGGACTGGCTTAGCGACGTGGCGCGAGGTATTGTAAGGAATTACTCAAAACTGCACTACTTTCTTTGCAAATGTGTTTCTGTTTCTCGACTATCAGTGTGCCGAGGGAGTGGATGGCTACGAGTTTTGTAGTCTATTAGCAGAGAGTTAAATTTATTTGCCATGCGTTTCCTTAGAGGTTGTTCTTTGTAATGTGTAGAAAAATATAATATCAGTTTTCGTTTTGTGGTTCAGTCAATGAATGATGTTTCTTTTATAATAAATGCACTGTTTGTTCTTGTTTAAAATAATGTTCTTATTCAATTGTGTTTCCCTTTGTCGTCAAATGTTTTGAAAATTGTTAGAAATTCATCCTCTTCTTAACAACCATTGTTTTTCGCAGGTGCACATTTCTCGCTTCTGGACTGCTCAGCCACGGTTGAATCTGTCTACGAGTGTTTATCATCACTGTGCGTATCATCACATGTTGGCCACACACCACGTTACACCGGAGATGCTACGGCAGCTGTGGAAATCGCTGTTACGACTGCAGCCCGCTCTAGAGTGCGATACGTTCCTCATGCACATTCTGGGGCACCTCTTCACTCCTGGCTCCTACCAAGTACGTCCTCCCAACTCTTATTTCGACCAAATACGTGGAGAACGCGAACGGTTGTCAAGTCGTTCAGAGAATGAACTGTTTTGTGTTGATGAATATTGAACTTAAGAGCAATTTGTGAAATCCCAATTCTAACAGAATGGAATAATGGAATTAAGTCATTTAATGCGGGTAAGGGAGAGACGGCCAGGGAGAGACGGCCAGGGAGAGACGGCCAGGGAGAGACCGGTTCGAGTCCCGGCGGTGGCAGGATTTTCGACACTAGCTAGATAGCTAAGTTGAGTTCAGTCGCTGACTAGCAAATTCTAGCAGCCGGTTCCTATGATCAATAGTTTTCGGGGATTTCACCGATATACACTAAGCGAATGCCGGAGTAGTACAATAACAAATGAGCCACGGTTCATGCGCGATCATTCCTTCCTCTTCCTTGTCCTATCCTGACCCCTTGACCACACTTCCACTTACATGTACTACACCACCACACGTGCCGGGAGCTTATAGTTTGTCCCGGCTGGGGCTGTACCCCGGTGGGAAAATCCCGATTGAGGAAGTGTTGGGAGGAGATGGTTAAACGAGTGGACGTCGTCAGCAGAGGAGTGAACGGGCAGGTTTGGGAAGAGCTTGGCCCTTTAAGGACCGTCTTTTTAACAACTAGTGGAAGTACACAATGGTATATACTTGCTCATATAAGCTAGTTGCCAATTTGTTCTTCTGCTTCACTCTCTTTCCGGCTCATACCTATCAGCACCTTATATATACTACAAGAATTGAAGTATGGCTCTAAGAATATTATATAATTATAAATCCTGGAATTACATGCAAATTGTCATTAAAAATGTAAAGCGGAGTTTTAGAAAAAGTTCTTTAAGCGTTTCTGTAAATGCCCAAAATTTATCTTATTTACGCAGATATATGGTTTCATTCATCAACAAATTTCATCAGTGATTATTTGAAGAGCTTGTTCTCACATGTTCAACAATGTAAAAGTAGTGCATGTAGAATAAACGTGAAAGATAATTTAAAATAAACATTTTTGTGTAATATTTGAAAATTAATGAAATACTAGCGTACCCGTGAACTCCCACCATATATCTCTACCATTTCTCTATCCATTTCCTTATCCTTTACATTAACAAGGAAATTGTTCATTAAACGTGTTTATTTGTGAAAAAATGTATAAATGTAACTTCGTACTTACACAATGTCATACAAAAATAAAAACAATACAATTGACGATGGAAACATTCAGTAATATAGAGATATTTTACGAACAATTCACACTTCCTTAAGAACATTTGAAGTTCCTTGACAGTTAGCTTTTCAGTTTCATTGGTAATTACAAAAATATTAGAAAAGGTGTTTACTCTTGAGAAAGCAAAGTAAAGTTTCCCATGCGAAAATACAGGATCGGGCAAGTACAATCCTTCCCTGAATTTGTTATGAGGAATAAAGTGGGCTTGAGAAGGCCAGGGCGCCAGCTTGCTGCGGTACAAAAATTGAAAAATGATTTCTATACTAAAAAAATATTTGATTTTTTCTGCGTTCTTACGTACCTCAAGGAAATAAATTCCAGGCCAAAATATAATAATACTAATATTTTAACCTTTGAGTAAGAAGTATCATTTGTTGCCATTAGAAACAATTCTATAAGCTTAAACTTCACTTTAGTACACGGGAATGTTGCTCATATTATGTTCACGTATTGAATATCTTAGCGACCCGACACCTCAAGTTTAATATCAAAAGGCGTATTACTTACAATATAAAGAGTTTACAACTGTACAGAGTCTGTACATTAGGCTTCCAGATACTGCCAACATTTAAATCGTGCGTCTGGATTGTGATCGTTGGCAGTTGTCGAGTGACTTATACTATTCTTCCTATAATTTTAAATTTGGTTGCTTTTTTAAATTAGTTACAATACAGAATTGTAGACCCTATTGCATTACAATTGCAGTATTGTAGGCTAGCGAGTTTTGATTTTTGTTGTTCATGTATTTCAAACTATTTTAATTTAGTTAATTGAAAAAGATCGTTCTTTGCGCTGTGTCAAAGCACAAGTATTCCCTATAACCTCCGTGTACTCGTGCGAAATCCCTCGCATGTTAAACCCCACACTCTTCCCTCTCCTATTTCCATTCCAAGAGGGAGAGATTTTAACAAACCGTATTTATTTGTTTAAAAATGTACAAACGTAACTTCCATTATACTATCACTATATAAAATATAAAAAAATGTAATTGTTGTGTAAAATAAAGGTTCACTGAAAATTTATTCAGTATTATCGACACATTTCTTGGAACAATTCACAACACTCCTTTAAAAATATTTGAAGTAATTATTCAAAATTCTTTGACAGTTAGCTTTTCGCTTTTCGTGATAGTCAAAAATATAAAAAAGCTTTTTATTCTTGAGAAAGACACGTGACTGAACACGCTTGAAAGTTTCACTGAATCGTTGCTTATAACGAAAATACTGGTACAGGTAAAAGACAAACCAAACCTTACAAGACATCTTTGTTCTTCACTGTACACCCACATCCCTACACAAGTAGGTACATAGCACTTGTGGACCTCTAAAAACGTTCAATGAATGTTTTCACCACACGCATAAGAAACAACCTTCATCGGAATCAAGCAACTATTAATAGTACTTCTAGTTGACGCTGCGAGAGCGAATCGTAAATTAATAATTATGGAAATAAACCCCGTCAGTATGCGCAAATCACGGTGCACACATATATAATAAATAGTATAACATAGGGGAATCTAAGTATACTAAGCGTGACGTCATAAAGATGGCCCCCATCACAATTTGAATTGAAGTGTCGAACAAGCAAAAATTTAATACAATGTAGAATGTCCAAGAATATCTGGTCTTGTAAATTATGGTGCGAGATACGTTTCTTAGAGTCCTATGGTCTCAAAATTTAATTTTTTTAAGGCCTTCGCAAGGCTTTTGTTAGAAAGTACTTAACGATATAGCTACCGTGCTGCGGGTTGCATTTCAAATGAATATTTAGATGCGTTTTTTAAAACAACTCCGTCATAGTTTTCAGGTCGAAATGCAATTTGTTACGCATGCGTGAAATTTTCTTTCTTTAGAGCATCATTTATTAGTCAGGACGATCATTATTCAGACATATGCATTAGTGCATTTTGGCCTCTCCTTACAAAACGTGAGATATTTTCTGTTGTACGTGTACCTGTTCACATCCAAAAGATTCATTTCCTTTCCCATATTAGAAATGGTTCTTTTTTGATATGGAAAATTTATATTATTTTGAGAAGCATTTAAATTAGCACTTCACAATGACTAATTATTTATAAATTATTTTCACATATTTTACTGAAATTGATGAATTTATAACATTATCGACGCTTTTAATGCAAAGAACAATTACAACGCCACCTAGAAGACGCAATAAAACGATGAAAACTGAATTAAATAAAGTATCTAGACGTTTTTGATTTATTTACCTAATTTTTTCTGTACATGTTTTTTGCTGAAATAAATTAAACGTGGAAACGTTTCATGATATATTTCTATCATTAGTCGGCGTAAAAGTTTGTGTTTTTACCGCGAAATTGCGTGGTATTTTCGAGCTGTAAGTCTTTTAGGTTGTTGTTTGTATACCGAGATGAACAATGTTTACAAACACCATTGAAAAAATATACAATGCGAATCAATAGGTAAGTTACAATTTGTACTTCTCATTTATTTACTTTTTTCAATTAACAAAATAACCCTAATAGTGAGCGTCCCATTTTAAAAAAAATTCTTAAAAGTGAGGGAGGTTCATAAAACAGCGTGGGCGCCGAAGCGAGGGCGGAGGCGCGAAGCAGGTCGCGAGAGCGAGTGCCAGAAGGCGAACACAGTTCGACGTCGGGTCGTCGGGTAGCAATGTGCATCAACACATTCACTCTAGGAGTATGGAGGTCCACTTTAGAGTGATACGTTTTTCTCACTGTTTTAGCGCGAAATTGCGTGTGTTTTCGAGCGTTAAGTCTTAAAATTTTTTTTGTTTACCGACATGAACAATTCTTACAACACATCGCAAAAATATACAATGCGAATCAATAGGTAAGTTACATTTTTAAATGTCTCTTTATTTACTTTTCCAATTAAAATGAAAATTTCCTAATAGTGAGCGTCCCCTTTAAAATAAATTCTCTTAAAAGTGAGGGAGGTTCATAAAACAGCGTGGGCGCCGAAGCGAGGGCGGAGGCGCGAAGCAGGTCGCGAGAGCGAGAGCAAGAAGGCGAACGCAGATCGACGTCGGGTTGTCGGGTATTGACAAGCGGCAGCACGTCCACTCTACTAGTGTGCAGGCCCTCTTTAGAGTGGCTACTAAAAACTTTCCATTTATCAAGGAGTTATATGAAATTAATCATACTGTGTGTTGTCAGGGACTTCGGAGCGGCATGCGCCAGTAGAGCACTAATAAATTAGTGAAAGAGTGTTCGTAAAACTACTAAATTGTAGTAATAATACGTGCGATTTGTGTAAATCTAATTTTTAAATGTATCGCGTAAATATTGATTGACTTATATCATAACGTTCATCTGTTGACATTATAGAGAACCTATTGCTTTCGAGGTGAACGAAATTTTTCGTATCAACGAAACCGAATCTTTCGGCTAAGGAAATGGCATACGTATAACGGGTAAGGTCCAAAAAGTTTATAGAAACAATTTGATCGTTTTGGAGACAATTTTTGTTTAAACCTTTCTCGAAATTGCAATATGCGTGTCTTAACGTAAAAAATATCACTTCCAATTCTGTTATAAGTTTTGGTTCATTAACTTTTGCGCATTGTCTCATAAAACATACAATTGCAACTTGCAACTCATTTTCTAAATTTCATCAAATATTGTAGGAAATTTTCAGTTCGAAATAATTTAGCAGCATTAGTATTGAAGCATCATTAGTTTTCTTAATGAAATACGTTAATAATAACAAAAAAAAGTGTTGATTTGTTTGAAAATGTGAATATTTTTAGTATATTGTGACTACAAAGTTGCCTGCTCCAAATTTTCTGAGAAGTGTCTAAACATTTTGGGATTTTTATAAAAGAATGTACTGTTGAAAAGAAATAAATGTAACGTAGAACTAACAAATAACTTCTTTACTTCAAGAAATTTT